ACCTCTTGATGGGTATTAAAGAGGGCTCGTACTGAATGAAGCACTGGGTGTTATAAGCAAACAATGAATCATGGAACACTACATCAAAAACTAATGATGTAATATATGGTGATTAACATAACATAATAAAAAAAAAACAAAAAAAACTTCAGCACCTGCCCTCCCTTACTCCTCTTTGATATGAAGGCAAATCTACTTCCAGAGCACCAGTCCTCCAACAAAGAAAAACCTTTATTTGAGAAACAAAGTCCTCCTCTCCAAAACCCCTTTTTCCAGCCTGCACTCCTCCTAAGCACCTAAATAACATTTACCTGTATATTAGTTCTGAGCAGTTCTAGACTACAAAGGGCCAGAAATTTAGATTAAATCATGTATAACCAGTTTCTGTATAACAAAGCCACTTCCAAACTGTAGATTGCTCAAATTAGCAGTGATTTGCAGAATAACATCTTACAGTCAGAGTAAGTTCTGTGCAGTGCTAAAAACGAAGTAGGAACTAATAAATACCTGTTGATTAATTAATTCTTACAACATATGTCATTTCTGAGAAAAGTCTTTCTCCAAAAAGAGACCTAAACATGCTCAGCATCAAATGAATGGGAGTGATACAACTTTCTGGAATTTTCATGCTGTTCAGGGCTGTCCCCAAGAAGCAAAACTAAATTCCCAGAATCAAATCAACAGTAATAGGACAGCTGTTAACACATTCTGCTCGCTACTGGGGCTGCCAACCCAGCTTTCTAATAGCTGAAAATCTTATTATCAACTTCTTCAATGCCTGAGAGCCCCCCAGGTACATCCTTGTTCCCAGACCCAGGAAGAGGGGATCTTACCTGGTGAAGGTTTTATGCTTCTGAGTAAGCTGCTCTGGTACCCAAATAATCTTCACTCCTGAAATGTTGTCCAGATTCATCTCTTCTCAGAGATCTGCAATGCACTTTCTTTTCTGGTGAAAAATAATTGGGGGGAGATTTTTAGTGCAGATTTTCACTTTGGGAATGAAATTCCAACATTTCCTTAATTTTTTTTTAAAATGATCTATTCAGGCATGTATACATTAGCTATTTACTAAACTGGCATTTTTCAGGATTATTTATTATAATTGCATAAAGCAATATTTCAAAGCTAACTAACCTAGGTTTAAGAGGAACAGATGAAGGCATCAGGAACTGAAACATATAATCAATATATAGATTAACTTATTAGCATAACAGTTTTGTATAAAATGCCTTCATTTCAAAAGTTTATTGTATTTAGCATGGAATTTATTTTTTTTAAGATTTTTTATTTATTCATTTAAGAGAGCACACACTTGCAGGCGGGGGAAAGTCAGAGGGAGCGGGAGAAGCAGACTCCCCACAAGTAGGGCATGTGACATGGGGCTCAATCCCAGGACCCCCCACCCCCCCCAATCATAACCCAGGCAGAAGGCAGCTGCTTAACTGACTGAGCCACCCAGGTGCCCCTGGGATTTATTTTTTAAACTCAATATATAGCATACTCAGAAAGTAAAATTTTAGCTACCAAAACCTGAAAGATACAGGTTATTCTGAGTAAGAGGGTAAAGTTTTAATAGAAAATAAAAACGATTCACTTCCCTGCTTCTCTTCTGCTTTTCTTTGTTCTCTCTTACCTCTTCTCTAGCACACCCCATCCCCCAAACTAAAGGATTTGAAAGGAGGTGGGAAGTGATCGCTTTTAGGATCACAGGAGCATTTGTATTTGAACAAGATGATTTATTCTTTCATGAATTAAAAATAAATCTGTCAAATGAACAATAATAACCAATAGTCATGGGCTTAGTACCTGACACTGCCCTAAGAGCTTTTTTCTAGCTTTATATATTTTATATTTATATATGCACTTAATACACTATCTATGGGACAAGTACTATCAGCATTATCGTTTCCCATTTCCAGACTAACAAACTAAACCACAGAAAGTTTAAGTAACTTGGCCAAGATCACCCAGCCAGTAAGGGGTAGAGCAGGCCCGTCCTCAAATCCATAGTATTAATAGCTGCACTATATTGCCTCTCCATGGTGATCTTGTATTTCCAACTACATTTGTCCTTCCTGAAAACTAACCCTCTCCACCTCCCTGCTCAACTCCTTCCCAGAGTTCTCTTATTTTCAAAAGAATACTCCACTGGGGCACCTGGGTGGCTCAGTCGTTAAGCGTCTGCCTTCAGCTCAGGTCATGATCCCAGGGTCCTGGGATCGAGCCCCGCATCGAGCCCCGCATCGAGCCCCGCATCGAGCCCCGCATCGAGCCCCGCATCAAGCCCCACACTGGGCTCCCTGCTCCGTGGGAAGCCTGCTCCTCCGTTTCCCCCCCACCCCGCTTGTGTTCCCTCTCTTGCTGTGTCTCTCTGTCAAATAAATAAAATCTTTAAAAAAAAAAGAATATTTATTATGTACCCCACATTGAGCCCTGCATCAAGCCCCACATCGAGCCCCACACCAGGCTCCCTGCTTCTCCCTCTCCCATCCCCTTTGCTTGTGTTCCCTCTCTTGCTGTGTCTCTCTGTTAAATAAATAAAATCTTAAAAAAAGAATACTCTATTTATTATGTACCTTTTTCTTTAACTGCCCTTTGTAGCTTAAGATTCCTCTAGGTAATCACCCTTTCTTAATCCTCAGTGCCTTCTTCAAAAGCATATCTTCAAAGACTCAAAACCCCCAAATCTGAAAGAGCAAATTCCCAAATACTTCCTCTGTCTCTACTTCCTCTTCCTCTTCCCTCCTCCTCCTCCTCCTCCCTCTCCCTGCAGCATTTCTTTACTTGGGAAGCCTTAGTGGCCTTGGTAGCTGTCTGCCACTTTCTCTTGTCTGACCAGTGAATAATTGCAACATTAACCAAGTGAGTGAAAAGTTGGATTTTCATTTTAATTTTAAAAGTGATTGTAGAATAGTTGATATTCGTAAACAATCCTGACAAAATTCTGGTAAAGTTCCTGCCATAATTTTCCAAGATTATAGACAGTGCTAAGAAAACTTTTAATATATTTTTAAATAGCAAGCATATATAGGGCATTTACTATGTGCCAGACACTATTCTAAGTGCTTAATATACATTAATTCACTTAAGCCTTACAGCAAACCTATGAAGTTGGTACTATTATTTCTCATTTCACAGATGGGAAAATTGGAGCTGTTAATTAACCCGTAACTTTAGTAAGAAGAGAACCAGCATTTGGACTCAGGTAGCCTAGCTCTAGGGTCTATCTGCTTAATTACTATACCACCATGGCACCATAAGACATTTGAATTCCGTAATGTTAGATACAACTACTTATTTAATATCAAAACAGTGCTTTTACTCAATATACTTGAATTTGTCCCTCCCCCACTGAAGGTGAATACCATAGGTCTATAAATCCAAGTTAATAATTCTATTCCATTATTCTGATTCCATAAGATTGGGATGAGAACATTTACTATTATATATAAAAACAAGGCATTTCAATATCACTCATACAATAGGATGTATAATCTTTTCATGACTTTAATTATCTATTCATAATAAAATTGAAATTATAGTCAATTTTTCTCCATTGTACAAAATAAGGTACAAATTGTGAAGTTTCTATTAGTAAAAACATACCATTATTTATGTCAGATATCTAAATTAGCAAACCTTTATTTCTTCATAGGAAATATAACTTGGCAAACAAATTTTTCCTAAAGGAACTGGAACTGGAACTTGGTCTCCCACCATTTAAAATAAATGTGTGTGTGTGTGTGTGTTTTGCAGCAATTTATTTTGTTTCTGGTAGTCTATGTCAATTTGCCATTGTGAAAAGCACAGTACCCTCCACAGTCTGGATACACCTGTGCTTTATCTTTTCCTTTGGCATTCACCATTGTTGAGCCTACTATATATCATTTATTGTCAACTTATTGTCTGTCTGTCCTTCAAAATGTGTATTCCATCAGAGTAGAAATTTGTGGCTGTTTCGCTTACTGCTGCATCCCCAGCACTAGAACACACGTACCTGGCACATAGTAGAAACTGAGTAAATGTTTAGTAAAGGAATAAATATGAATCTATGAAGCAAATCTCCCTGCAACATCTTTTCCCAGCCTGGCCCCCCCCCCAAATCATACCTCTGGGAGAGACACTGTATGAACAATATGACAGTCCTACTTTTTTTGAGTGTGAAAGACTGCAGATAACTTGAAGTCTTATGGAGCCCTGGGAATTGGATGGGTCAGTCCTGCAATCTGCCTGTAGTACAAATGGTTCCCATTAACCTCCTTAATGGAGGTAGGGGCCTGAGGGCTAGTCTCATTAAGATCACATAGTTATTCATCATGTAATTCAAGATTTAGTTTGGCCTGATAATACTATTAATCCTCATTATTCATAGATTCCATATTTTGCAAATTTCCCTACTTGCTAAAATTTATTTCATGGTCATTCATAATAATATATCTTAAATAAGATATCTAAACAGTAACACATACAACACATACTGATCACTTAAGAAAAATGTTGTGAACAGAGGCCCACAGGAACTTAACCTTGCATTTCCCCTGGGAGCAATGGTTCAGTATTCACTAAACCACTGTTTGTGGTGACTGTATAGAACCTAACTACCGCAAATAACACAAATCCACTGTATCTCCCCTGGAGTTCTCCAGAATGGTTCCCTTTCTGACTTTGGAAATGTTATCTCTGTGGTTTCTCACAACAAGCAAGTGTTCTCATTTCAATCTTGTGGAAGCCTTCTTGGAGATAGTACACATTTACAGAAGGCCATGGATGAGCACTAAGTAAACCTGAGTTCAGCCCTGCTCCCCCAATCTGGAGAATCATCCTGAAGAAATTATTTAACATTTCTTGGTAGAGCTTCCTGATCTGTGGAATGGTTTCCTCAACTGAAAGGAAGAACTTGAAAGTTCTTTCATGTGCATATGTGTAAAGTATTTTTCAAGTTGAACAGTGTTTTTTTCCTTCAGATCTCAGGGTATCGTAAATAACTTTTGTGGAGCACCACTGTTAGTTAACAAGTCTTAGGGATTTGATCTTTGTGTTCTAGAGGTAAGAAGAGAGTTCCCTTTAATAAATGGAACACTGCTACTCCCAGAATGTCCTGGTCATTGTCTAACCTTGCCTAACATCAGAAACTGCCTTTCAACCTCCTTCCTCCTAGGAAGAAGTCCAGCAGTCCAGTCTAACTCAAGTGTCCAGTTGAGGACAGGGAGACCAAGTAGCGCTAAGGAGAATCCTAGCTGGTGACTTAGGAGATCTGATTTCTCATCTGCCATTACTCAACTCTGTGCCTGAAGGTAAGTCATTTCATATCTTTGGTCATCAGTTCCTTCACTTCTAAGCAATTTTTATTAGATGACAATTATGAAACTGTCTGCCGACACATATATAAAATAACTTGCATATAGTTAAACAAAAATGTAAACAATACCAAAGAATGCAAAAAAGAAAGCAAATTTCTTTTTCCTCACCAATTCTGTCTTAGTTTCCTAGGTTTGCCTCAAAAAAATACCATAGACCAGGTGGCTTAAACAACAGAAATGTATTTTCTCACAGTTGTGGAGGCTAGAAGTCCAAGATCAAAGTTTCAGCAGGTTTGGTTTCTTCTGAGGCCTCTCTCCTTGGCTTGCAGATGGCCACCTTCTTGCTGTGTGTTCACATGGTTGTCTCTCTATGCATGCACATGTCTGATGTTTCTCTCTGTGTCCTAGTCTCTTCTTATAAGAACACTAGTCCCATTGGATAAGGGCCCACCCTAACGACCTCATTTAAATCTAATTACCGTTTTAAAGGTCCCTATCTCCAAATATAGTCACATTCTGAGGTACTGGGGGTTAGGGCTTCAGTACTAGAATTTGGAGAGGGGTAGGGGAAAATTAGTCCATAATATATGCCATCAATCTCTCAAAATTGTACCATATTTTAGTTGCTTTATATTTGGACCATGAATTCTTTATAAAGCTCTTTGTAATTTTTTTTTCAAAATTTTCTAATTATCTTTGGCTTGCAAAAATGACATGTTTTACAGTATCTCTAAAGTCTTCCTGGTCCTTAATGACATTACTATTGTGAAAGAATCCACTTTCTTCTTGAGAGATCATCTTCACAGAGCCCTCTGACCCTTTTTGTTTTTTCCTAATTTGTCTTGATTGCTTTCTTGGCCTGCTGCATCACTGCCAACCTGGGATTTGAGTTCCTTGGTCAGTTCGCTTTTTTCTTAAATCCTATGTTCTCCTCTTTCTTGTATCCTTTCTCCCCCCTACCCCTCTTTGTTGTGGTGGTGGTGGTGCTGAAGTACATCTGTGGCAGACAGAGATTTGCTGCTAGATTGCCAGATTGCCTTTCAAGAAGGAACTGCCCAGCTTCAAGGAGGATGGTTAACTGAGAGCCTCCAGGTGTTAACTCCTCTAGGGTCCACCTCAGCTTTCCAGAGGAGGTTTTCAGCCTTTGGCCAATGACTGAGCAAAGTGATTGTATGAAAACCTTGTCATTCCTATCCAACTCAGGAGTCCTCTAAAGAGAAATCTTTGCTCTGCAGGTACCAAGGCAGAGACTATCAGGTCTGCATTGCTGCATCCTAATACTACATAATACTGTGTCCTCCCCTTTTGCATTCACAGGACGTTACTCCCCATTATAATTCTGTACTCTGGTTTTGTGTCAGCTTTTGCTTCCTAGAGAACATCATCAGTATAACATCTTCAAGTAATGTTTATTTTTTGTTTCAGAAAAGAATTTAAAAGATTTAAATTTCAAAAGATTTAAATTTTATGACACTCACAAGTGTGACCTACTTGTTCTCATAGGTGATTGCTACTTTGATTGATTATACAATTCTGGGTTCAAAATTATTTCCCCACAGAACTTCAAAGGTCTTGCTCTACTGTGTTCTAGCATTCAGTATTGCTGAGAAGTCTGATTATAATCTGATTCTCTTTCCTTTGTAGTTAGCCTGTTTTTTGCTTGTTATCCCCATCTCTGAAAGCCTTTAGGATTTCATCTTTATCCTCAGTGCTTTTACATTTCACTAGGCTGTCCAGGCATGGTTTTTTTCATTCATTATATTTGGATGGCACTTTTGATCTGATGACTAATGTCTTTCTTCCACTCTTTCCCATGCATTTTCTGTTATTTCTCTTTCTGGAACTCTAAAGCCTTGTGTCTTCTGGGCCTATCCCCCATGCTTTTAGATTTTCTGCTCTCTACATTTTTGTTTCCTGGGAGGTATTTTCCATTCTATCTTTTATATCTCCAAATTTGATCTTTAGCCATGACCAATATGTTATTTTTCACTTTGGCAAACTTTTAGTTTTCAAGAACTCAACTATTTTCTCATTGCTCCTTTTTTAATATCAATTCAAAAAACAGTTCTGTACTCTTCCTTGCATTATCTGTTTCCTCTTGAATCAGTTGCTGTGTGTTTATCTTGGACTTTTTTAAGTTGTTTCCTCTCAAATGTCTGGTAGACATTTGTTCATATTCATGAATAAAGGACTACACTGATTTGTGTCTGTAAAATGGCTGGTCCTGCAGACATGCAGGCTTTTACATTAATGGTGCACGGGAGGAAATAGCCATGCTGCCCTCCAATCCCCCAAACTACTAACTCAAGGAGAGTTGCTATCTGAGAGTGGGGTGAGGTGGCCTTTCTTTCTCTCCATGTCTATTATTATTAGGCTCTACTATGCCTATCTCCCCAGCCCTGTATTCACCACCTGGGCTCTCCCTAGGCTAATCTACTCTGCTTAAGCAGTTCTCCAGGCAGCTCCACCTGGGACAAATGCAGCAGCAGCTGCAAAATGTTGTGGGCCTTTGACCTTTGTGCTGTTGCCTCTGTGCCTGGAGCCTCTTGCGAGCTCCATGGGGAGAGTAGTTTTGTCTGCTAGCTTCTAGAATGTGCACTCTGAGCTGTGTTTTTCTCTATTCCAGGTTATGGGTCTACATAACCTCATTTGTATTCCACATCCCAGAAATTGTTTAAAATCTCAGGTTTGCTCATTGCAACTACTTTTGTCTCTCATGCTGCATACACTTTTTTTCTTTTTGTCTTTATTAGCTCTTCACTGGAATCCCAGGAAGGAGGGCAATCATACGTGCCCACCTATATGGCTATAGGTGAGCCTGCCCTGATGGCTGCATGTAATCCTGACCCCTGGACACAGTTCGGGGACCAAGGGTGAGCATCTAACTGAGGCCAGACAAAGAAGAGTTTTTCAGTCAGGATTGAGAAAGAGAAGAGAGTCTCTGGTTGATAGACATCTTAGTCTATTTAGGCTGCTGTAACAACATACCACAGACTGGGTAGCTTATAAACAATAGATATTTTGTTTCTCACAGTTTTGGAGGCTGGAAATCCAAGACCAGGGTGCCAGCATGATCAGGTTCTGGTGAAGACCCTCTTCCAAGGTTGCAGACTGCTGAACTTCTTTCTCACTGTGCCCACACACAGTGGAGGGGAGGAGGGATTTCTCAGGCGCCTCTTTGATAAGGGCACTCTCCACCTCCATGTCCTAATTACCCTTCACAGGCCCCACCTCCTAATACTATCACCTTGGGCATTAGATTTTCAACATGAATTTGGGTGTGTGGCAGGGAGAGATACAGACATTTGATCTACAGCAATAGGTTGTGACGGGGAAACCATGTTGCCAAATGTGAGCAAACCTTAAGGAAGCCCAGTTTCATTTCCCTCTTGGTTTCCCTGGGACACCCCTGTACCTTACAATAAATGTCTCTGATTTACATTAGCTCTGTGTGAATTTCTGTCACAGTAAGAGAGCCAGAAATCACACACCATCTTGGCCCTCTTGGAGGGTGTTACTCTGGCTGGCTGCTGCAGAAAAAGCGCAAGAAGGGGTTAGACCAGGAAGCCAGTTTCTCCCACAGTGCAATGATGGCCATGACCTTGACCTCAGCAAATAATAAACCCCTTACCTGTAAAATGAGGAGAAGGTAGGAATAAGATGAAGGCTCTTTCCTTGCGGCCTAATTTTCAAGGTTCTGTCAACAAACCTGGGGGAAAGGGTGCAACATATGTCCCCAACTTCCCAAAGAGGTAATTTTTTTTAACTCTCAGAAAGAAACACTATGTAATTTTAAACATATATCAGCTTGTTACATTCAAAAATGGCAAAATGTTCACTAGGAAACAAAAATAAAACCCACCATCATTTTGTTCAAATGGTCTGTACTTGTGTCCCCTGACCCCCCAATTTTTAGCTTCCTTTAACCGTTTGCATAGCCTTAAGGAAGCTGCTTTCCCACTTTCCCCTAACTCCACATTTTCTCTTCCCTAATTTATCTCTTCCCCAATTTCACATTAAAGCTTTTACTTTGGGGAACTGCTGTCTTACCTGGGGAGAGTTAAGAGATAATTCTAAACTACTCCCCACAAAGAAGACCAATAACTTCAAAATAAAACTCAATTTGTTCAAACCCACATTACATCCTGTTGGTTCAAAGACCCTTGAGGGCAGAACCCAAGTCACTAGACGGTTTTTACGCTGTGCTTACAACCGAGGAGGGGCTCAGGACCCTTGTTAAGATGAAATGTAAATAGGAACCGGATCAAAAAGACAGTGTTTAACTTTCTTTCCTCTGCAATGTCGGGGGTGTGCGTGGGCACTTTCTCTAGTGACTCAGTGACTGAAGTCTTCAGCTGTCTTAGAAGACCCGAAGAAGGAAGCTGAAGCTGAAGCAGAAGCAGAAGCAGAAGCAGCCTTGGGGTTTCAACCAGCTTCGTCACGGGGACTGCAGGCTCCCCTTCCCGGCTCCCTCACCTGGCTTCCTACCTGGAGTCCCTGAGCGACTCACCCCCAGCTTTCCTCAGCGCGGCCCTCCAGCGGGGGCCGCAGCGCTCTCGGGGGCGGCAGCGTCTCGTTAGTGCTCGAGAGTTCGACGGGGTGGTACTGGAAACGACGCGCAACAGCTTTCTGAGTTCAAAGTGCGGTAAAATATTCTTAGTGTTTGTGATTTGAAGAACCGTAAAGAAGTAATAATCTTTGGTTTTTAAAATCTATTTTGGCAAAAATTCGAGCCAGGCAGGAGTCGAACCTACAATCTTCTGATCCGTAGTCAGACGCGTTATCCATTGCGCCACTGGCCCTCCACATACGGAGAAACTGAGGGGATGTACAGATTACAGAGTGGTAAGGCCACACTCGACAGCCATCCCCAGTGTGGGGTAGTAAAGGAAAAGTAAAGGAACGTGGCCTCGAATTCTCTGAGTCTCAGCACCACCAGCCCCGGATACAAGAGAAGGGGACCCCTCTCCCCGGTGGGTCCGGATCCCACGAGGGGAAGCTGGGTTGTCTTTCTGCGCACGCGTGAAACAATACACAGTCATTTACTCCCTTCCCCTCCCCGTTCCCCAGTTACGCATGCTCTATTCAACTTCTAACCCGCGGCTGTACTTGCTCGGGTTTCTGAGTTTGAATTTCAAGGGGCACGAGAGATCTACCCGTCCCTTCGATAGCTCAGCTGGTAGAGCGGAGGACTGTAGCTGACTTCCTGGCAAAAGACATCCTTAGGTCGCTGGTTCGATTCCGGCTCGAAGGAGACAGTGTTTTGTTTTTTTCTTTTTTAATACCAACTTTGTATGATTTACGGCCCGTTCCACGGGCCCCTTCCCTAATACACATAATATTCCAACGAGCAATTGAGCAGTTGAGCATTTGGAAGTGCTTGCAGTTTCGCCCCAGTTTTGGCCTACGGCAGTATCGCCCGTGTGAAATCTTTTGTGAATCCCCGCAACGTGCGGTCCTAGTAACAAACGCCGAAGTGAGTCTGCGCTCGGCGGGGCGGCTGCCGGGTCACGGCCTTCTGCTTGTCTCCAAATCGTCTTCGGCGTTTCGCGAGTCCCCTGAGCACACAGAGAAAAGTCCCGAGCCAGCCGCCTGCCCTTTTCCTCAGAGCTCCGTGGCTGGTGGGCAACGCGGGCGCTCGTTCCAGCTGCCGTGAGGAGACGCGGGTTTCGCTAGAAAGATAGCTTATGGTCAACAAACCTGGGAGTCACTAGAGAAACGCGGTACAAAGCACACAAAGCTTAGACAGTAAAAATTATGAAGGAAAGTTGAGAGCTTGCTACACCACTCCCTTCGATAGCTCAGCTGGTAGAGCGGAGGACTGTAGGCGCTGTGCCCGTGGCCATCCTTAGGTCGCTGGTTCGATTCCGGCTCGAAGGAGAGGAGTGGTTGTTTTTGTTACTTTGGCCTTAACTGTAAGGCAAGATCAAGAACATCATAAAAAAAAATAGTTTCCGTTTCTAAATGTTCTGACCTCTCTCTAGAGGAAGAGATAACGGCTTGTGCCCAGTGGTGGGGGATTAGCTCAAATGGTAGAGCGCTCGCTTAGCATGCGAGAGGTAGCGGGATCGATGCCCGCATCCTCCAGCTTTTTTCCTCTTCCTTTGTGGTAGTTTTTCTTTCGATTCTCATTCAACTCGAGGTAGAACTTGAAATCAGCCATCGGGCAAGCGAGAGATGGGACGAGCTTGAGCTTGAGCTTGAGGTTACCCCTCCCTAAAACTTCCCAGACAAGGGATAATGGGTGCTGACAGAGTTTATTCTCACAACTTAAAAATCTTAGACCCATTTACGTTGGGAAGTTCACGAAATTGGTTCTTTTTCTGTCCAAAAATGGCTACGGATTACAGTTATATCTGCACTCTCTTTGTGATTCGTGATTGATAGCTGCACTTCCAGAGACCCATCCGATACTAAACTGCCCATATTTAGGGGGAACGGACAGAAAAACAAAACAACACAAAAAAACACAGAACTTGGAAAGGGACGCTGGCTACCTTAAACTTATGTTGAGCCGAGGAAGCGAGAACTATTCCGCTTCATGTCATCTGAGTTCAGTGGGGTGCCCAGCTGTGGGCAGATCTACTGGGATAGGATAAAGCAAGGGATACAGGAAGAGCGGCGAGGAAGTGGACAGGGGCCTTAAACCCAGAGGCTTGCTCCTGAAGGAGGTTGTTCTAATGCCATTTTCCTCCTGGGAAGTAACTGTGGAGAATTGGGACCAGCACTCGAAAGGAATTAAATGGAAAAAAAAAAAAGATCTGTTTATTGAGCATAGTCTATTTTGTTAAAGACAAGACAAAAACAAAACAAATACACTGTCACTGAAAGATTCAGAAATTGAGCAGAACACACACAAAGGCTTTTCTGGTAATAAATTCTTCCTACCCTAATTTACTAGAATATAGCCATTAAAAAGCTGTTGAAACCATACTGCAGTTCTCAACACAAAACATACATTTTCAAAGACAAAGACAAAGGCAGCAATATTACCTTTTTTGATGATTACAATTAATAAATGACAATTCTTTTATCTCCTGTTCCTTTTAGTGTTCTAGGCAACCTGCACATTTTTTTGTTACCAGTGTGTACAACCCGCTGCATTTTATTGGTATATCTTTCCTTTTCTAGGGCAGTCTCCATTTTTATCTCATTTTACTCTTTTCAATAAAGTCTTTAAATTGAGTGTATAGTGATTCATTTAAAACATATCATTATTTTCATGAAAACAAATTTACAAAGTAGGAAAAGGAATCCTTTTATCAAATGATATGGCCCAGTTTCCAGTTGAGATTATGAATGCTCTAACTGGCTGACTGGAGGAGCTAGCAGTAAAATTATAAATGGCTATAAGAGCAAGAAATGTATAATAAGTGGAAGGAATGCTCCCAAAATTCGGGTGGAAAGCACATGGTCAGGGCATGGGAGTTGGGCAAGAACTCAAACAACATCTCAGGATTAGCAACTCAGGTGTGGAATGGAATTCATATCAAAAGTCTAAAGGTACAGGCTGAGAGGGACTGTTGCACAGTAGTTAGTCATGTGGGCTGTGAAATCCAATGGCCTTTCTTGGCTTTCACATTCCCTAGCTGGGTGATACTGGGCAAGTTGCTTGACATCTTGGTGCTTCAGTTTCCTTGTTTGTTAAATAGGAGTGATAAAATGGTACCGACTTTTAATTGAGATGTAACATGTAAAGCCCTTATTACAGTGCCTGGTACATAGTAAACACACTATAAACATTAACTGTTATCAGTGTATGTGATCAGTACCATAAAGGGAAGGCCTGGGGGGAATATTCTGAGGGTTTGCATGTGTGTTTATACAAGTATATATGGAAGTGCAGGAAAGAGATGCTTGGATCTACCGTGGAGGGAAAGTAGAACAATCCTAAAAATACAAAATGATAGTTAAATAAATTATGGTATGACCATTTAAGGGAGTATATATAACCTTTGAAATTATACTTATTAAGAACTATTGACATGGGAAATGTTCATCTAATGCTAATTTAATAAATTGGGTACAGGCCAATATAAACAATAACAATATAAACAAACATTATCTGTAGAAAAGACTGAAGAATACATTAAAATATTAATAGTGATCTTTAGATAGTAACATTACTGTGATTTTTTCTTCTTTAAAACTCTAAAATATTTTCTAATTTCTGTCGTAAACATTTATAAGTTTTAACTGAAAATATAAGATGCATTTTTAAAAAATAACAGCTAACAGCACCTCCTATAAGCCAACCACAGTTCTAGTTACTTTACATGTATTAACTCACATATTTTTCTCAAAAAGAAAACACCAGGCCCAGATGGCTTCTGTGGTGAATTCTACCAAATAATTAAGGAAGAAATAATACCAAGTATAGGCAGACTTTCAGAAAATTGAAGAAGGGGAAAGCTGTCCAACTTAATCTATAAAGGCAACATTATCCTGATCCCAAAGCCACACAAAGACATTATGAAAAAAGAAAACTACAGGCCAGTATCCTTCATGAAAATAGATGCAAAAAATTTAAACAAAATTTTAGCCAATTAAATCCAACAATTCATAAAAAGGAAAATACATCATGACCAAATGGAATTTATTCCAAGAATACAAGACTGGTTCAACATTCAAAAATCAACATAACTCATCATAGTAACAGGCTAAAGAAGAGTAATGACATGATCATTTCAGTAGATACAGAAAAAGCATTTGACGAAATTCAACATCATTCCTGATTTTGAAAACTATCAGCAAACTTGGAAGGGAAGAGAACTTCTTCAACCTGATAAAGGACTTTTCATGAAAAACACATATTTAATATTATACTTAATAGTATGAAGCTTTTCTCCCAAGATCAGGAACAAAGCAAGGATGTCCATTCTGAGGTTTTTAGCCAGGACAGTAAGGCAAGAAAAATGAAGTAAAAGACCTCCTGATTGGAAAGGAGGAAGTAAAATTATATTCACAGATATCTCATTTTTTAAAATATTGATTACATGTTGAAATAATAGTTTATATTTTGGGGGGTTAAATGAAATACATTAATAACATCAATATCATTTGTTTCTGTTTTTTAATGTGGCTACTAGAAATTTAAAATTATATATATGTCTCATATTTGTCAACCACATCTTATTTCAATTGGACAGTTAGGTCAAAGAGGTAGGTAGGAGCCAGATCATGTCAGGCCTTAGAGACCACAGTGAGGATTAATGTTTTTATCCCACGGGTAATTGGACCATTAGTGGGATTTAAATAGGGAGTGACATATGAGAAACATTGCAGAAAGCAAGAGTGAATTCAGAAAAATCAATCAGAAGGCTGAGGTGGAGGGATGGTGAGGTGGTTGTGGGTGTTGAGGGTGGAGTCAAGAAGGGCTTGGAGTTCAGACACAACCATTGGGAAGGCCTTAGGCTAAAGCATTTGCTACTTGTTGGGACTGTCACTATTCATTTCTGGCATGTGAATTATGCTAGGAAATGTTCAGAGAAAAGTAAAATATGTTAATTTCTAACATATCCTCAGAGATATTTATGATGAATTAAAATGTACAAACAACAGATTTGGAGGAGTAATTATCAAGAAGAAAAGCTTACAGCCAGAAGTTTGTAAGCTATCTAATGAAAGAAATGCCTTAGTGTTAGATTTGGAAAGTACTTTTCAAGTTAATTCATTTCTCTTTGATTTTAGATTTTGTAAAATGTTTCTTTTCATTAAAAAAATTTTAAATCACAGACACAAGCTGCCTGTTGCCAGATAGACAGCTAAATTAAAGAGACTGACAATGTAGGCAGAAAAAAAAAAAAAGTTAAGTATTGTATAGATATCATGAATTGAGTTCTTGGTGTAAAAAGATTGCAAGAATCCTTCTACTGGAAAGAGTTCTGGGTTATATTTTTTTCAAGTAACTTGTAAAGTTGGTTAGAAAAATGCTTTTCTAAATCACACCCTGAGCCCCAGGATACCAAAAGAAATAACATACTGTAC